TTGGTTGAAAGTTGTTTGGAGTTCCAGATATTTTTCAACTGTAAAAATGCAGCCCTTGCTTTGCCAATCCGCACCCTCACATCTGCATCCGATCCACCATGGTTGTCGATGATGCTGCCCATATATGTAAAGGTGTTAACGTCCTCCAAGGCATCTCCATCAAGAGTGATTTGGTTGGTGCATGTTGTGCTGCATCGGAGAATTTTGCTTTTTCCTTTATGTATGTTGAGACCTACTGCTGCAGAGGCTGCTGCTACACTGGTCGTCTTCTCTTGCATTTGTTGTTGCGTGTGCGATAGAAGAGCCAAGTCATTTGCGAAGTCCAGATCGTCCAGCTGCGTCCTAACTGTCCAGTTGATACCGTGCTTCCCTCCAGATGTTGACGTTTTCATAATCCAGTCGATCATCAGGAGAAAGAGAAGAAAGGGTGAGAGTAAGCAACCTTGCCTGACACCGGTTTTCACCTCGAAAGAGTCTGTTAGCTGACCTCCGTGTACGATTTTGCAGTTGAATCCATCATAAGAATTCCGTATGATGTTAACTATTTTCTCAGGCACCCCGTAGTGTCGAAGAAGCCTCCACAGTGTTTTCCTATCCACGCTATCGAATGCTTTCTCGTAGTCGATGAAGTTGATGTAGAGTGGTGAGTTCCATTCAATTGATTGTTCCACAATGATCCGTAATGTAGCAATTTGGTCAGTACACAATCGATACTTACGAAATCCGGCCTGTTGATCTCGAAGTTGGGCGTCTACGAAGTCCTTCATTCTGTTTAACAATACCCTGTCGAAGACTTTGCCTGGTATTGAAAGAAGAGTGATGCCTCTGTAGTTCTCACACTTGCTGAGATCGCCTTTCTTTGGTATTTTGATGAGGTATCCTTCTTTCCAATCTGATGACACTTGTTCCTCATCCTAAATCTTCTTGAAGAGGATGTGAAATATTTTCGCAGCTGCTTCTACATCTGCTTTCATTGCCTCTGCTGGAATGTTGTCTGGTCCTGCTGCTTTGCCGCTCTTGATTTGTCTGATGGCCATACTGATCTCTTCTATTGTAGGTGAGCCAATATTAATTGGGAGGTCCGTAGATACTGCTTCGATGTTGGGTGGGTTCAGTGGAGCTGGTCGATTCAAGAGTTCCTTAAAGAGCTCTACCCACCTATTTCGCCGTTCTTCAGTGTTGCTGATTACTTTGCCTTCCTTGCTTTTCACTGGTCGTTCTGGTTTACGATAGTTCCCGGCGAGCTTCTTTGTTGTTTCGTACAATTGTCTCAAGTTTCCGTCTCCTGCAGCCTTTTTCGCCGTCATTGCTAGATCTTCCACATATTTTCGTTGGTCAGCTCTGATGCTCTTCTTCACTTCCCTGTTTGCTTCTGTGTATGCAGCTTGTGCGGCAACTTTCTCTGCTCTTGTTCGGCTGACGTTGATTACTGCCTTCTTGTTCCTCCTTTCTTCAATTTTTTCAAGAGTACCAACAGAGATCCATTCCTTGTGATGGTGCTTCTTGCGACCAAGGACCTCCTGATATGTTGAAGTAATTGCCTCCTTGATCTCTTTCCAATTGTTCTCCAATGTTGCGTCCTCTCCGTCGAGTAAATCGTGCAAGGCCTGGAACCTAATGGTGAGGGCTATTAAACTTCTGTGATGTCGTCTGTCCCGTTGTCCAGTGCTCCTTTAGCTTCAGGTTCATTTTGGCGATCAGCAAATGGTGATCTAAAGCTATATCAGCTCCTCTCCTGGTTCTCACATCCTCCATAGTCCTTATGAACGTTTTGAGTAGTGTGGTCCGGTGAAATCCATGTAGCTTTGTGTATGCGTTTGTGCGGGAATATTGTGCCACCGATGACCAGCTTGTTGAAGGCACATAGGTTTGCAAATCTCTCACCGTTTTCGTTCCTTTCTCCCAGTCCATGTCGTCCCATGATGTCTTCAAATCCAGTGTTGTCCATTCCAACCTTGGCATTCAGGTCTCCCATAAGAATCGTCAAATCCTTTGGTGAATATTTCTCGACGATTGACTGCAGCCTTTCGTAGAATTGATCTTTAACGTCGTCATAGCAGTCGTTGGTAGGTGCATAGCATTGAATCACGTTCATTGTAATGTCCTGTTTCTTTGTTTTGAAAGATGCTTTAATGATCCTCGGTCCATGAGATTCCCATCCTATCAGTGCCTTTTGTGCATGTTTGGACAGCATCAGTGCAACTCCTTGTGTATGTGAAGCATTTTCCTCTTCATGACCAGAGTATAACAGCAGTTCTCTTGAAGCTAGTCTCAGTTGTCCTACCTGTGTCCAATGTGTTTCACTGATTCCAAGCACCTCGAGGTTGTATCTTTTCATTTCTGCCGCAACTTGAAATAGTCTTCCAGTCTCCCACAATGTACGAACGTTCCATGTACCTAAAAAAATGGTTGCTCTGGTTGTCAGAAGAGGCATCGGCCCCGTGACTTCCGAGGGAACTCGACTTTCATCACGTGACGTCATAATCCTTCTTCCAACTCCCAGGGCAGAGTTAAGATGGTTTGAATTATTTTTTCTGGTTAGCGTTTTTTTGGCAAGTTAGTTTTTGACGGAATGGGGTCGCCGACCCCATGTCCAACCCTCCTCCTTTACCCGGGCTTGGGACCGGGATCCCAACTAGGTAATCTACACCGACCCATATAGTTCAATCCAAAGGTGAATAACTGTAGACTGATGACCCATTTCCGTTTGACTGTTCCTAAAATTTTTCCGACATCCTTTTGTACAACTTATTATTGCGCGTCAAGGTAGGCGGTGAGTAGACATGCGCAATACATGTCCTAATTACAATACTTGATGAACACTTACTACCCCACCAATTGATTCGTTAAACCTACTAAGTTAACTATGTTTAGCTCCGATATTACTTACGCCATGGTATCAACATACGCAAAGCCGACCCTAACCTTCGAGAGGTAATCAGAGTGATAAAAGAGGGAGAAGATGTCGACAAGAGTGGAACAGACAAAGAATTAACAGTGTTGCTGAGGCAGAAGGAGAGACTGAGAGTGAACGGATACGGAGCATTGACCTGGCGGGATGATGACGAGAATTGGGTAGCAATAATCCCAAAAGATCTGCGCCAGGAGATGATTCGTGAATGTCACCAGGTAGCGCACACAGGTATTGCACGGACAACTGATTCGCTGCGACAAAGTGCGTACTGGCCATGTATGAGAGACGATGTTGCCCGATGTGTTAGCGTGCCAGCGATGTCAACTAATGAAACGGGATCGATGCATACGACCGCCATTGCAGTCAATCCCAGTAACAGCAGTTGGTGATTTGTCGTCAGTGGATGTTATGGGACCGTTCCCGCAGACGACAAGTGGTAACCAGTACCTGCTGGTGATGACTGAGCATGCCACACGATGGGTAAATGCCGTGCCGATGGCGGACCAACGTGCAAGGACGATGACGGAAGCGGTAATGCGACACAATGTGGCGGACCATGGAATACCAAATATTAACCGATCAAGGTCCCTGTTTCGAGAGTGATGAGTTCAAGTCCCGTCTAAAACAGTTAGGTATCAAGAGAGTACGAACAACGCCGTATCATCCACAGACGAATGGGTTAACGGAAAGGAATAACCGAACGCTAAAGGAATGGCTAGCATCTAAAGGGGGTGACTGGGAGAAAGAATTACCATTAATCTTGCTGGCACATCGTGCCTCGGCGCAGGGAACAACCAGGAAGTCACCGTTTCAGCTGATGTATGGCAGACGGCCGAGACTACCAACGCATGATAAAACCTGGCCACAACAACAGAGATGGAATACAACAAGGTTGAGAACAGAGCGGAGACAAGCAATCAGGAATGTGATAGAGAAACAAACATCAGACATGGAGAAGTCAGAACAGGAGACCGTTTGACGTGGGAGACCAAGTGAAGTGTAGAGAACGGAAATATACCACAGGAAGAGGGCCAGGGTCAGGTAAGCTGGTCCCGAAGTGGGAGGGACCGTACGTCGTCACCGAGAGGCGCGGCGAAATGTATACGATCCAGAAAGGAAACAAGCAGAAACGCGTGAATGCCAGTCAACTCCAAAGGTGGTTCCAAGTGTGCCAAGAGGGCGAGCCACAAACACTGACAAAGAAGACGGCTGTGCGGCGATCAGAAAGACTGAGAGAGCGACTTGTTAAAGGGGGGACGAGTGTGGTGTGTGCTACTTATACGAACGATATAAGTAGTATAAGAATGGACGTGAAAGAAGAAGTCTCACGGTCAGAAGAGGAAAACGGAAAGCAAATGGAGCAAAAGCAAGAAGTTAATGGAGTACCAACAGGAAGGAAAGGAAGCAACAGCAGGAATGGAAGAAGGATGGAGCGTTGGAAGTCAGGACTCAAAGATGGTGTGCAAATAGAGTGTTCAATGTAATGTTTTCGTTTTTAATTGACTAAGAGTGTAAATTTGCTAAATACAATCTACTGCGCCTGCCTCAGTCTTCTCGGCCCTCTACTTTTAAAGATCACGTTTCACAACTACAAAGTACATCGCTTTGTAGAATAATCTTTCTTTGGTTGACTGATGAACATAACACGCGCCATGTACGATTATGCATACACATAGCTAGAAAAGTTTTAATTTCATGTCACAATTATATTAATTAACTAAGTACCGTAGCTATTCTATGCATAAATGATACATGTCATTCATAAGTCGATATATTTCTTTATGGCACTATTAGTTGAATATAATTCAAAATAAGCAAAATTAACACAAACTGTTTAATATCCCAAGTCAGTTGACCCACACACACACACAGCGTCGGGTAAAACAATTCGCAAACCACACTAATTGTATCCAAAGTCTGTAGCAAAATTCTAAAAATCAACAAAGTGTATGAAAGCAAAATTGATTTGTTCGATTCATTTTCATCGAATTTTAATACAAGATAAAAGGAAAAGAAATTAGCAGATATGGAATTTGATTCAACCAAAAGAAAAAACGATTGCGTTGATTAAGGGAAAATCACTTACTACCCCCTTGCATAAGCCTGTAAATTTTAGCTTCAATTTGTAGTTGTGGATGTTTTGCTTTGACGCATTCTAATTTAATAGCTACCTCTTCGTTATTTGTGATATCAGTACCTGTGAAATAATAATGGGTGGAAAATATTATTTTGATATGTTTACATTACATTGAAACAACATCTAGCGTAGAGCAGACAAAACGAAATAAACCAATGGTTTAGTGAAATGAACATGATATTTCTTTCAAAAGTTGCTTTGAGAACAACGATAACAAACCTGTCGGAAATGAATCAGTCTTAGATAAGGGTACTTTTCTATCAACATACAATACAAGATAAAATCGGAAGCACAAAGTAATGATAACTACAAACAACAAACTTAGAGAGATAACCGAACCGGCATACAATTTGATATTGATTATTAACAAAAACTAATCTCGTGAGGTACACAGAAAACAATTTTCCAGAGAAAAAGATTTTGCGATTGAAACATTTTACTGATAAACATTGAATTATAGGTTCAGATTCAAGTTCACTTATTTCAGTATAAGTAGACATTGATGTAATAATTTTTCTTCTTTTTCATCTTCCCTCATTTGTTTTGAGTACACTTAAGAGAACAGTACATGAAAATATGATTTGTAAGTGACAGATTAGTTTAATCTTCCTTGCACAAGTAGGATATTTGCATTACAATCTATACTCGGAGAGTCTAAAGTACTTAAGCATGCAGTTTTGACTCATTCAACGACTGTACACAGGTATTCTAGAAATCAATAATCTATGAACAAATAAAAGAATATAATCTTCAAACTGTTACTGTACTGAAATATATATATATACATATATATATATATATATATATATATATATACATATATATGTTAAACTGCTACTACTACTAAGTAAGCAAAGAAAAACATTTTAATCAGTCAGTCAGTCAGTTGCAACGTAGAACTTCGTACGTATGTACATAAGTTCATGTTGCCATACAATCACATTAGCACAGAGACGCAAATGTCAAATCAAATCCCATAGTGATAAAGATAGTAGAGGTATTAATGTTAATAAAGAAGACTATGGTTCGAAGATATTATTCAAGGAATATAATGCAGTGAGATAAGGTTAGAAAGACTAAGGTAGAGGTGCTGACAAATCCAGAAGATTAGGATTTGAGAGAGCTCAAAGAGTGGATGCACCTGCGCCATTGCAAACGATTTTGAGCCATGTCGTTCAAGGTCTCTAACCATTGATGACTTTCGTCTCGCGCACCCCAACCAGGTAGTCTATATCTACCAACATGACTCAGTCCACTTGTCAGTGACTTCATGGATTTCTGCCATGTTTTGGTCTGGCCGCCCCTAACTTTCTTCCAACCTACTCCTACACCACAAAACATAGCTCGTCGAGGCAGTCGGTGGTTAGGCATACGTAACACATGTCCCAACCAGCACAACTGATGAAGTTTCACCACTTCATCTATTGATCTGCCATCCTTACCTAGTACTCGTTTCCTAACGACAGCATTGCTTACTCGACTTTCCCACGATATACGAGCAATGCTTCTTAAACATCTATAATCGAATACTAGTAACTTACGAACATCTTCTACTCTTAACGGCCATGTTTCACAGCCATATAAGAGAACGGAACGAACTGCTGCGCAGTACACCCGCCCTTTGGTTAGCGAACGGATCTCACGCTTGCGCAGGTTGGCAAAAGCCAATCGAGCCTTCTGTATCCGAGCTGAAATTTCGTCAGTCACCAGGCGATCAGCACTGATGAGACTCCCCAAATAAGTGAAGTGATCAACACGCTCGACTAATTCACTCCCTATCAATAGTTCAGGTGCCGATACAACCCAATCTTGAAGCAACATTTTGCATTTCGAGGGGGGAAACCGCATCCCGAACATGCTTGCATTGTTGCTTATGGTAGTCAGAAGACTCTGCATTTTGTCAGCGTCTTCACCGAATAGAACTATGTCATCGGCATATTCTAGATCAGTAAGAGACTTTCCTGGTAGAAGGTCAACCTCTGAAAAATCTAAGAGGATATCTACGACAAAGTTAAACAAGAATGGAGAGAGTATACAGCCCTGACGGACACCACTTGATGTAGAGAATTCAGATGACAATTCGCCATATCCTCTCACCCGACCAGTGGTGTTCGAGTAGAGTGCTTGTATAAGGTTAATGTACTTCTTTGGTACACCTTTCAATGACAGACACTGCCACAGAACCTCACGATCTACTGAGTCAAATGCCGCTTTTAGGTCTCGGAACACGACTATTGTCGGACGTGTAAATGTGTGTCTGTGTTACAGGACCTGTCGTAGTGTAAAGATGTGGTCTATACAACCACGTCCAGGTCGAAAACCAGCCTGGTTTTCTCTAGTCTGCTCTTCACGAGCTCTAGTTAGACGTCTAAGTATAATCGAGGCTAACAATTTAGAAACTATATTAGTTAGACTTATTCCCCTGTGATAGTCACAAGAGGACTTCTGTCCTTTCTTGTAGATTGGGACAATTAACGGCTGAGACCAGTCAGGTGAGGTTACGTCCAGTTCCCAGATTCTACCTACGATCTCGGTCAGTCTAACTGTTAAAACTGGACCACCATCCTTAAACATCTCGGGGGTAAGCCTGTCGGGACCCGCCGCTCTACCTCCCCTTAGATTTCCTATAGCTTTCTCAACTTCATGTAAACTGGGAGGACTTAAATCGATTGGCCATTCAGGATGACTGGGGACCGTGGGCAACCGAAGTGTGGCTCGAAGCCAGTTGAAATGATCCCTAAAGTGTTCTGCCCATCGGTCCAGCCTCCTAGATTGAGAATGGATAATAAGACTATCCTTTTCCGAGATAGTCTCACTCACATTCGGGTTCCTAATACCAACTTCTTTAATAAGGCGGAAAAGTTGTCTAGTGTTGCCTATCGCCGCTGCCTTTTCCATCGCTTTTGCTTTCGCCACCCACCACTGTTCGCGGTCGTTACGCAGACTTTTTATAAGTCTGTGCCTAAGCTGACTACGCTCTTCATCATGCTCAGAGTCAGGTGGGATGCGTTTGCGAGCATCCATCAGTTCGGTGAATGCGACTGAAATCCACTGCTTCACTCTAGCCTTGTGGTTTACCTTGCTAGCAGATACCATTGTTGTTTCCACAGCCTTCTTGAAATGATTCCAACCTGCTTCATGATGGGAATCACTTGCATGGCCGCCTAACTGTTTTTCTAGTTCCTCCTGAAATATTTTCTTAGCTTGATTATCACCAGGTAAAGCCCTAAGAGGCTTCCTTACGGTGTCTTTCCCACGCCCAGCAAGCCTCAAACAAATACGTGCTCGCACTAGGGCATGATCTGAATCTAAGCATGTGCCCCAGAACGAGCGACAGTCCTCTATCGAACCACTCCATCGGTGGCTGATGGCGATATGATCTAGTTGTGTCCAACGTTGAGACGACTTCGGGGTGGCCAGGTCAAAAGGTGTTTTTCCTTATGCTTAAAATTATTGTTTGCTAGAAATAGTTGGTTATGTGAGCACAGTTGCAAAAGACGGTCACCATTGTCTGTTCTTTGAGCCGCGAGACCGTAACATCCACCTAGGTGTCTTTCATTTTCACTTAGTCTACCTACTTGTGCATTGAAGTCACCAGCCATTATTACTATATCAGAGCGCTTAACTTTTTGGAGAAGGTCCGAAAGCTTTCTGTAAAACTCATCTTTTACATCATCTGGGCTGCAGTCAGTGGGGGCGTAGGCTGATATGACGAAGAGGCAACGACGAGTGTCCCTATCTTTCCGAGCCCTTACTGTCTCGTTCAGTCGGACGGCGCACAAGCGACTATCTACAGGAATCCAGTCAAGGAGAGATTGTTCTGCCCTACGACTCAATGCTATACCTACACCGGCTAGGCCCCTAGAAGCAGCATCAGGGCTACCGGATACACGAAGGGTAAATCGAGTTGCTTCTTTATCTTGACATGGTGAGGTATGCGCGTTTCCGAGACGCAGCACACATCGATGGAACGAGATTCTAAAGTCCTAGCTAATGATGCCTGTTGCCCTATTTGACACAATGTCCGTAAATTGAATGCTCCAACATGTAGTTTGGAACGGGGTTTAAGGAGACAAGGAATGACATTTCGCGAACTCGCATCGTTTGCATTAGCTGTGCACTGTGATAAATGAATGTGAGAAGAGTTAGTCACGGAGATAAGAGAGGTATTAGGGAATGTAGGAAGGATTTGATTTTGAACAATTTGGTCTCGTGTGCTATTGCGGGTATGAGGGCGGTTATCACTTCCCGGCTGCCCACACCGTGGAAGGTTGTTTTTTGAGGGACATGAAAAGGAAGATAGATTAATGTTGGTCTTAACGACCTGGTTGCGTGACCGCAGAGTCCAAGGGACAACTGCTTGAGGCCGGTCACGCACGGCCTTTTTATGAAACGTTTATTGAGGATTAGCTCCGTTCTTAAAGGCCCTCAGTGGGCACCCTTACTCAAGGAGACGGAAATCCGTGAGTTAGAGGAGGTGTGACATTTTTAGGGCCGACATTTTCTAACCCTTCCTTCCTTGTGAGAGTGATGTCAAATCATTTAGACTGGTGGTCACAGTTCAACGTTGACGGTAAAGCTTAAACAGGAGTAGATAAATATATAAACAATACTAATAAATAACTAAAATATTATTAACGACGTAATTTGACAAACGACTAAAATATACGATGAGGCACAAATATTTCATACGACTTAAAAACTTAGGATCCTGGGTTAGAATGGACATAATCAGTAGTTCGTTAGAGCATGAACGAAAGTGAAATATCAACAATAGTATATCTCATTCTCGATAGAACTTTAAAGCATAACTAGAGCTCGTGAATGACAGACTAGAGCAAACCAGGCTGGTTTTCAACCTGGATGTGGCTGTATAGACCATATATTCACTATTCGTCAGTTCTTGAAACACACACACACATTTCGACGTCGCACAACAGTAGTATTTCTCGAACTTAGGCATCATTTGACTCTGCGTACCGTGAGGTTCTATGGCAGTGCCTGTCATTAAAAGGTGTACCAACGAAGCACATTACCCTTATACAAGCTCTCTACTCGAACACTACTGCTCTAGTTACAGCTTATGGCAAAGTGACATCGGAATGGGTTACTTCAAGTGGAGTCCGTCAGGAATGTCCACTCTCTCCATTCTTGTTCAATTTTGCTTTGGACATGCTCCTAGATATAACATTATCCTTGTCTGAATTTTCAGGATTAGACCTTCTACCTTGTGAGAGGGCAGAATCGCTGCAGATGCTGGTTGTCCGAGGGAAACACCTTACTGCCGTCACACCACTCTACAGTCCGCAGTACGACTTCACCCTCAGATCTTGATTGGCTGCTTTTAGTCTCGTCGTTCTCCAATCGACCTGCCTGTTATGACAGAACCTTCAGGAACATATGTTCCAGCCAATATAGCTCGGTTGTATCATTACGGTAGGCAATCCCGACCACCACATCAAGGTAGTAGCTACGGTTAATATAATTTATGTGTGACATAAAATTTATTGAATCACCAGATTGTTTTATAACACGCTTAACAACAATAAGAGGTTACCATCAAGAAATTACATTTAAAAAGTAATCACTTATTAACATTTTTTGTTACAATATAATGGGTAGAGCAGTTCTGTTTGTACAATTAGGTATTCAAACTTGCAAAATGCTTGCAGATTTTACTACAACAGCCATCAGCAAATGACTAGTCATATTGATGATTACTCCATTAACTCTTTATTTATAACATTTTCAACTGATCAATAAACTTCGGTGGTTGTATTAGTCATGAGTTTAAACTAATGACAATGAAGAAAAAAGAGTAACAGAACACATGTTCATACTCTGTGCCCGTACACATATGCATTTAATTTGTTTGTACGTACGTTTTTTTTACACTCACACATACTACTACTACATGCAAATTTGAACGGGTCTTTTTTTTATAAACAATAGTTACTACTTTGAACAAGGTTAACGAAAAATGTGAATTCATCCTTTAGAAAAACAATAGCCAAATCATATATAATCGATAAACAAAATTATTAAAATATCACTCAAATTATTGGTCTAGACAGTGAAAAAATAAACTATGTATGATATCTTCCTGGAATATTAAATGGGAATGTAATCACAATAATAAACTAAACATCACCACAATCATCCATCAGAGCTACAAATTTTCTCCCCCATCTCATAGCAAATTTACTTAAGGATACAACAAGAAACTGTTAGTAAGGAAAATAACAAGTCCGTCAAACATTTTTAATGCAACCGGTATTGTCTTTTTCAGTACTAATCAAATGAATTAAATTAAACATGTGTAATAATAGTTGATGAGTACATTTGATATTTATTGATTTACTTGTTTTTAATCATTTAAGTCGATAAACATTCTTTTTTAATAAGGTATCCTTATGAGAAACAAATAATGACGAAAGAAACGTTTAGGCTAAACATATAAATTTAAAAAATGTAAAAATAAATTTCAAGGTATGAGTGTTTTTCATTCGCAAAAGTAATCATATTTCTAAATGATAGAAAACACAAAACAGGTTAGACAGAATTTGAAAGTTTATGAACAAGCATTTAACACTCAAGTATTCCAGAAATTAAGGTCTGAAAATGAAAGTTTAGAATTGTGTGGCATGCCCTGAGTAAGAATGGCCAGAACATACTAATCGATCTCATTACAACTACTCGATGTTCGCAGACAACTACATCCGGTACTAAAGTTTCCGTTTGCTTTATTTCATCATTTTTATGAAGTATATTTCGTCTCCACATAATAATTTTTATCAATTTTTGCCTCAGGTCTAGTAGTGTATTGACCAAAAAGGTATCAACAAGAATTAACACAGTTGTAGTTCAACACTAATGTCCTTCCACTAATTGAAATACACTTTCTATAGAACAGGTAATTATTCCGATTCCTAGATATCATTTATAATTTCAGACAGTACACACAAATGCAGTAGCTAAACGTGAAACGTTACAGTTTAAATATAATTACATTATCCCGAATATAGACAGTTATACACAAAGTTAGTTGAAATATAATTAGTATTGGGAATGAAACAAACATTTGAGACTGCTGAGCACACTAGGTAGACATGATCAGGCTTGCATTCAGTAATAATACCTTTGTGATCTATGGAGGAGGGGGTAAGGTAATGAATCCTAAAAACTGTGAATTGTGCTTCTCAATTAACTGTTTTTCGTTAATGAAAGTATAGTTTTTTAACGGACCGGTGTAATTGTCCTCATTCGCCAATTACATAATCAGGCATATTCTAGATCAATTCTGTTAGCATCAATAAAAATAAAACCTATTTTTTTAATGAAATTTAATTTGTAGGTTCTATTACCACTTTCGCGATGCATTTTACGAATACATAGAACACGAATTCCTGATAAAGTAGTTTGAATACAAATACTCACACAACAACTCGCTAGGCACATTTTTCTTTTCGGCAAAGTATTATCTTAGACACATGATATGTGAAAGACATTAAAAAGTAATAACTAGCTTTTAGATCCTTATTGTGAAAGACTATTCACTTACCTAAGTAAATCTCGCCGAATGATCCACTACCAATTTTACGACCAAGGCGATATTTATTGCCGACTCGTAATTCCATTGGCTATTTAATTAAACAAACATAATTTCAGTGAAATAATCCCGTCACTACCAGTGAAAAATTAAGTCTAAGAATAAAAAAGGTAAGTCGACCTAAACCGGAGGCTTCATTACTGTGTGATTACCTGACTTGAAATTTTTACCTCTCAATGCTAATGTTTAAAAAAAATGAAAAATAGTACAACAGTAAGCGAATACTACTAACAATTCCACCGATGCTAGAATCTACGTTCTTTGAGGCTGTTTAAATACCTCCAAATTAGGCTAAATGAAGCCTTATGACTACCCTAAGAAACAATGCAAGCATGTTCGAGATGCGGTTCTCCCCGTCCAAATGCAAAATGTTGCTTCACAACCGGGTTGCATTACACCGGAACTAGTGATAGGGAGTGAAACAGTCGAGCGTGTAGACCGCTTCACTTATCTCTAGAGTCTCATCAGTGCTGATTGCCTGGTAACTGACGAAATATCGGCACGGATACAGAAGGCTCGATTGGCTTTTACCAACCTGCGTCACCTATGGCGCAGGCGAGATATCCGCTTGCTAACCAAAGGACGAGTTTACTGTGCAGCAGTTCACTCTGTCCTACTGTACGGATGCGAAACATTGCCGTTAAGAGTAGAGGACATTCGTAGGTTACTAGTCTTCGATCATCTATGTCTCCAAGGCATTGCTCGTGTATCCTGGGACAACCGTATAAGCAATGCTGTCGTTAGGAAACGAGTATTAGGTACGGATGGCAGATCAATAGATGAAGTGGTGAAACTTCATCAGTTGAGGTGGTTGGGACATGCGTTACGTATGCCTAAACACCGATTCCCGCGACGAGCTATGTTTTGTGGAGCTATGTCCCCCTAACAGGGAGTAAATTGGAAGAAAGCTAAGGGCTGCCGAACCAAAACATGGCAGAAATGCATGAAATCACTGACAACTGGAGAGAGTCATGTTGACAGATATAGGCTACCTGGTTGGGCTCCGCGAGACGAAAGTCGCTAACGGTTAGAGACCTTAAATGACAAGGCTAAAAACCGTTTCCGATGGGGCCGGTGCATCTACTCTCTGTGCTCTCTCAAATTCTAATCTTCTGAATTCCTCATCATCCCTATCTTTCGCTTTCTAAAGTTATCTCACTGAATTATGCTTCTCGAATCATATCTTCGAATCCTAATATTCTCCATTATTGCTAATACGTTTACTACCTCGACTACCATCAGATTTGAATAGACAATTACGTCTCTGCGCTAATGTGGTATGGCAACTTGAACTAATATACATGCGTACGTAGGACGTTCTACGTTTCTGTTGATTGACTATGGGATTCGTATTGACAGTTTGATCTCTGAGCTAATGAGGTGTGGAAAATGGACTGATATATATATATATATATATATATATATATATATATATACGAGGTTTTATGTTGTATCGGATTGATATTTTCTAACCGTAGGTTAGGTAACTTTAATGATTCGGGATTAACAAAACCAGAAAGAGTAAAATCGTTTTGCAATTATCAAACCCTGAATTCGAATTATTCGAAGTTGCACAGATATGTGCTTCCTATGTCGATGAACTTATATTAGAAAGGATTTTATCTGCAAAACCAGCAAATCAAACATCTAATGACGGTTTTTCAAAACATTATTTACATCTTTCCAGTCATCATCACCATCAACAGCAATGTAGAACTCTGTACGTCAGTACAGTAGTTTTAGTTGCCATACCACATTAACTCGGAAATACAATTTTCAATTCAAATCCCATAGTAGTAGAGGCAGTAGAAGAATTAGAAATGACCTGAAATATTAGGGTTCGAAAATACACCTTTCTAGTAGGAACTAATTTATTATACTCTGTGGGAGGAATAGAAGCAACCTAACCGTGAACATAAACCGAAACCTTACCGAAGTAAGAAGAATCAAGCGCGAAGAAAACAAATGGTCTAAAACAACTTATGAAAAAGATAATGGAGAACGTGCCTACCTATAAACAGTAGCGGAAATATTACAATGAAAATACCTCATCAAAACCTCTCAACACGCTAAAATACCTAAAATAGAGTTTCACCTTCTGAGTTGGTTGATTTGGTTGCGAATCTGTCATTTTTATTCTGAACAACACCATCAACACAACCATTAGTCAAAGCGAAGCTTCCGTGTGCCTTACTCGTGTTTCCTCATATTTCATAAAAGTCGTCTGGTGTAAAACCTTATGAACTAAATTAACACAGTCGTTCAACGACATTTGTGACGATTACGGAAAGTATAAAAAATTGTTCCAACCAGTCAATAGCACTCACCAAGAACTGCCTGACCGAACAGACCGCCAGCCTTGTGAATGTTGTAAACAAAAAAGTTAATGTGGATGTCGAACTTCAAAAACTTTAATAAGATTTATTTAAGGTAGAAGCACTGAGCAGTAGGTTTATCCCTCCCAATCAACCGCTCTCTTCCTAGACGTTTGAACGGCAATATATACACGAAATGAGTCCGCATCAAAATGTTTTATAATTAAAATCAATTCTAAACTTTCATTTCTAACTGCCGTTATTTTCCATTCTTAAGCAGGATATATACACTTAATAACTGTTGCTTTCATACTTCAAAAACCTACGTCTTGAGAATTTTCCTCCTACTCTCACAGTCTACGTTGCCAATCGAGTAATGTACCTCTCTTATCTCTACCACTAACTCTTCTCACATTCCTTCATCTCACTGCACCGCTAATGCAAATAATGCGAGTTCACGAAACGTCATTCCTGGTCTCCTTAAACCCCGTTCTGAACTACATGTTGGAGCTGTTCATGTACGGACTCCTACACTGCAAAACAGAGCTCGAGGAGGCAGTCGGTGTTTAGGCATACGTAACATATGTCCCAACCAGCTCAACTGATGAAGTTTCATTACTTAATCTATTTATTTGCCATCCGTACCTAGTATCGGATCTGGGACAGCGCGTACCAACCTGCACCTATTGGAAACGGAGTGAACTGCTGGGGTAGAAAATTTATTTATAGTCCAACAATAAAGGAGAAAAAAGAAACATTTGGAATTTTCATCGTTTACAATCTCAAATTTCCTGGAAGAAGAACTTTTGGATTAATTATCTTTAGCTTTGTTCAAACTGTATTTTGGAAAACGATATTTTGATATTTTTGGATTTTTCATTGAAGAAGAAGATTTACCGGTGAAAATTTTATATTTTGTCTTTGTTACTTACTTTCCGTTGAATTCAAATTGATAATGAGTTCTCGAACGAAATAAAACACGAAGAGGGTTGAAGCCCATGAATAATCCCGGAACGCAAGCCAAGTTGTTTATGATACTTCATGTTTAATGGGTTCACTCTCTACTAAGGATGATATTATGCTTAGTACTTATTATTGTAAGTCACCATTGGAGAGTACTAAGGAACAACGTTTGGACGAGCACTTTGAAGTACCTGGGAAAGATTTGATGTTTAGTTGCCTTAGAATTGCCAAAGGTTGAGCTACTCTTCTTCGATGGTAAACACCGTGATTACTTTAGATTTGTAAGGCGATTTGAAACGTTTATAGAACCCAGAGTTATGGATGATAATCTGCGTTTATTGTATTTAATTCATTACTGTAAGGGAAAGGCGAGAAATGCGATTGAAGGATGTCTTATAATGGAACCCCACGTGGAATATAAAAGAGCTAAGGAAATTCTAAAGCAGCTCTTCGGACAATCGCATGTAATAGCTCGTGAAACTCTGGATGACTTGTTCAGATCTGGGAATGTGGATTACAATGACCCAGAACAATTGTCGGATTTAGCAATTAAGATGCAAAACGTTGCTCTAACTATGGAACAATTAAATTGTATTGCGGAACTAAATTCTCTAGTAATTTTAGAGCGAATAGTTATGTTGTTACCTCATCGAATGCAAGTCCAGTGGGCAGAGCTGCGAATTCAATGGGACGAAGAGGAAACAGAGCCTACTTTCAATGAATTGACTGACTTTATTGTGTCTCGTGCTAGGATAGCTAGTAGCAGATTCGGAAGATTAGCTAATCGCACGAAAACAGGACATGATACGGAAGCTATTAGTCATCAGCGTTCGAGACATGGGAATTCTACAAATGCGTTTGCACCTACCTCACGCCCGTAACTTAAGAGAGTCGTTAATTCTATTACAAAGGTATATCCTCTTGAAGACCAAGCATGTTACCCTGATGGTTTAAAATCCCTTGATGTGTATCCTGGTGAGAAGTCGGTATGTGTAGCAGATAAGATGGGTGTTTTGAGTATGGAAAAGAAAGAAAAAGGCAAAAGGGGTAGTCATCAAGACGGATCCGAGGTGTGTGATGGTAGAAGCTTCTTAACTACTGGAAATGCAAGGAACGGTAATTTGGATTCCAGCAAACAGAGGTTATTGAGTACAGTGAATATGAATAAGGACAAAACAGGTTTGGCTGTATGGAATAAAGCTTATGTTCGGAACCCTTCACGTAGGGTAAATTATTTAACACGACCTAGAGTTGATCCTAGGATAACAAGCGTAAATAGTGACACAGCACTTCATGTTGCTGAGCAATCAGGATGTCTGAGGGCTACTGTATCTAGTTCTACGGAGCATCATGATATTGAAGCGGAAGATGATAGCAGCTTAGCGCGTCTCGCTGATGTTTGTTTACAGTCAACTGATGGACGGTTATATACTAGTCCAAGTATTCATAGCAACATTGATAGTGTCAGTGTAAGTCGAAGCAGTGGTAGCTTAGCTTTAAAGCCTGCATGCCAACTATCTCGCAACTCGTCATTAACTGTGAATAGTCGGAACATCATTGTGGACAACAATAACGTCAAGGTGGAGATGAAACCCCATGTATCTATTAATAGTGTAATTGATGTGAATAATAAAGGCGATGCTAACGATAGTGGAATCACTATAGCTAGTGCTGTTTCTTCGGTTGATGTTGCTAATGTAGCTTCTTTGAGTACTTCGGATGAAGACGAAATTGGATGTTTGAGCGTGGAGAATGTAGGCGTCGGTGGCAATAGCTTTAGCCACAGTGATGTCACTACTGAGAGGGCTAACATTCGGTACCCTAAGTGCAATGAGGAGCCATGTAGGTTTTATGGACATGCTGTTGTGTTGAATATGCAGCATGAGGAATCGAGCACGGAATTGTCCACCTGTCGCACTCCACCATCATTGACTTGTACTGCAAGTATCGGGATGAGCACTACCAACAGTGATAAGATAGGTGAGGTTAGGAGCATTCCTTATAAGGAAAGCAATCTTGATCGAGTAGAGTTCGACACTGTACATGATGTAAATGGATTTTCTACGGTGGCAGTTCCAATGGGTTCCAATAGGTGCAACTTGAACGCGTATCTCCCAATTCAAGGTCCAGAAAAAAGCAAAAATTCTAGGAGAAAACGGTCTTTATTAATTAAAAAATGGAAATACAAAGCAGTACCTGGAATTGATTGCAACTTCCAGGTTACAATTACTCCGAAGAGTATCCGAAACGAAGATAAATAAGTGACGTTAAGTCCAACAGCTACCGTATCAATCCAAATATGGCTGTAGCCATATTAAAGATCAAATTTAAACAACATATATACAGATCAGAAGCAAACACAAAAACTTCAATATAAGTACAAAATATAGAAATAATAACAATATACAATAATAAAATCTCAAATTGGAATCAAATAAAATACCAAAAATGTCAACAGAAAAAGTCCGTCATGTCATAACAAAAATATGTAAACATGGAGGGATTTTCCAAAAAACAAAACATTCAAAAAGGATTCCACACATGAGTCGAATGGATGTCATGAGAAGTGTACTGCTGCTTGTACAGCTGCGGCTACTAATGATAATAGCATTGATGATACTCCTGTGAGTAATGGTGATCGATGGAATTTGATAGACACTCATCGTCGTCGAAATGATCGTACGTTACGCTCACATACTGCTACCCAAGCTAAGAAGCATAAGAAACAACATGATGCTACTATTATTAAGAAGCGTAAACTTCGTTATCTTTCGGATGCTATGACTAGCAATGGAAATAGTTGTCATCGGAATCTTAGTAGTGACAGTGATAGTAAAGAGACAAAGTGTTAGCAGTCCACCTATAGTGACTAGTCGATCAACTTCATCGAATGAGCCTTCTAGTGTTTTGACGTCATCGGACCCTGCCGCGAATGTTCAGTTGATTGAGAATGCACAAGGTTGTGTAACTGTAAGTGTTCCTACTTTGGTTGACTGTCAGTCAAGTGATGATGAGAAGGAAGCGTCTGATGTTAACAGTCAGTCTACAGTGTTGCATGATAACGATGCTATTGATGTGCATATGTCTTGTGTCTCTGAAACGGAACATGAAGAACAACAAGTGAGTATATCAGTTTCGAATTGCGATACTAATGCTGTTCTTTCATGTAGTGATATGAGTTATACAAAAATGGAAGAGTTCCACTCTACCGATGCTAGTGCAGACCGAATCGACGCGACCTGTCTGACAGAACGGAATCATGATGACGTTGATAATAATCTGGATGTCACTGATGTGACAAATAAGTTACCGACGATGACGAATGCTGATCAAAACTCCTCTGAATCAGGAGATGGAGAGATAAATATTGATCCCATGTTATGCTACTTAAGGTCTTCTGGAGACGAAGAAATTTCAAAATTGTAGATCCCACCCTTGCATATTATCTATGGGTCAAGAACTTCTGTTTATAAGTCAGCATCACGGACTTCATTGTATCTGCTGATCGGAGCAAGTGGTGGCGGATTGACGACTCAGAAAAGGCTTGTTTTGCATGGAGGGATTTGCGGGCCGGTGTAGAAGCTTTTTTGGATGTTTTCTTTTTTGGAATATCCCTCCATGTATATATATTTGTGTTATGATATGACTGACTCTTTATGTTGACATTTTGGTACTCTATTTGATGCCATTTTGAGATTTTATCATCGTATATTGTTATTATTTCTATATCTTGTACCGATATTGAAGTTTTTATGTTTGCTTCTGAACTGTACATATGTTGTTTAAATTTGATATTTAATATGGCCATATTTGGATTTGATACATCGACTGTAAGGACTGGAAGCACTTATTATTCCAGAAACGGATACCCACCGCGATAAATTGGATTCGGAATGTGTAATATTGTTGTGTAATTGTCTCTATTTCCAGAATTATTGTGTTTTGGTATCGGATCTGGGACGTCGAGTACCAACCTGCACCTATTGGAAACGGAGTGAACTGCTGGGGTAGAAAATTTATTTATAGTCCAACAATAAAGGAGAAAAAAGAAACATTTGGAATTTTCATCGTTTACAATCTCAAATTTCCTGGAAGAAGAACTTTTGGATTAATTATCTTTAGCTTTGTTCAAACTGTATTTTGGAAAACGATATTTTGATATTTTTGGATTTTTCATTGAAGAAGAAGATTTACCGGTGAAAATTTTATATTTTGTCTTTGTTACTTACTTTCCGTTGAATTCAAATTGATAATGAGTTCTCGAACGAAATAAAACACGAAGAGGGTTGAAGCCCATGAATAATCCCGGAACGCAAGCCAAGTTGTTTATGATACTTCATGTTTAATGGGTTCACTCTCTACTAAGGATGCTATTATGCTTAGTACTTATTATTGTAAGTCACCATTAGAAAGTACTAAGGAACAAGGTTTGGACGAGAACTTTGAGGTACCTGGGAAAGATTTGATGTTTAGGACACCGGTAGTTGGCTTAGAATTGCCAAAGGTTGAGCTCCTCTTCTTCGATGGTAAACACCGTGATTACTTTAGATTTATAAAGCAATTTGAAACGTTTATAGAACCTAGAGTTATGGATGATAATCTGCGTTTATTGTATTTAATTCATTACTGTAAGGGAAAGGCGAGAAATGCGATTGAAGGATGTCTTATAATGGAACCCCACGTGGAATATAAAAGAGCTAAGGAAATTCTAAAGCAGCTCTTCGGACAATCGCATGTAATAGCTCGTGAAACTCTGGATGACTTGTTCAGATCTGGGAATGTGGATTACAATGACCCAGAACAATTGTCGGATTTAGCAATTAAGATGCAAAACGTTGCTCTAACTATGGAACAATTAAATTGTGTTGCGGAACTAAATTCTCTGGTAACTTTAGAAAATTCATTTATACAGCCTACTGTTCAACACGTACTTAAAAATGACAACGGTATAGGTTGCCTGTTGGCAGGTCATACCTGCCAGTCTGCATTTAAATGCAACTCTTGTGGCCGATGTGTTAATTTTGGCTGCGTTAATGCAATACCTCAACCAAACTACGAATTCATAATAAATCAATCCTATCTGTATCTCTGGTGTCTTTTTCCACAGTATTAAACGTAACTGTGTCACAAAACGAGCCCTCTCTCGGAATTCTCAATGCCAACTAAGAAGAGAAAGTCCAAAGATAAAACTACGTCTAGAATTGATGGGAGACATGAAAAGAATGGTAGCAATCTGTTAGAAACGAGAAGGCTTAGAACAGAGTGGACTGGAGAACGCTGATCAATGACCTATGCTCCTTCGGGGGTAACAGGAGTAAGTAAGTAAAAAATTAGAATCATTAATTCAACAAAATAACCAAATGGAAGCATAAAGCTCCCTTGATAACAAACCAATCGTCCTCCAAAGGAATACTGACTTCTCTAAAATAAGATCGACAAAACACTCCAAGACTCCAGTCCGCGCTCCAAAATACTATTAGGTTCGGTAAGTACTAAAATAATCGTTAACATTACGAAGAACTGGATGAGCGCAAGAAAGGAAAATAGCGAAAAGGTTGCGAGTGAACTGTCTCAGATCAGGGATAAATGCATAAGACAATTACCTCAGTATTTAGTTTGAGCCCCTCTGTTGGAGAAAAACCTAATGGGAGGTACTACTCTTTGCGATGAAAAGTGGTATGACAGATACTACATAATTCTTTGAATATGTTTTACTCTAAGCGAACTACGTCGTCTGTTTAATTACGAAAGTGAAGCGTAATTTAGGTGATCATATCAGATATGTTAGTAGCCGACCTAGATCAATGAGACGACAACTAAGAGGTTTCATAAAGCACGCAGATGTCGGCTGGTCTCGATGCAAAACCAATGAAACAAGAAGCAAAGACCGTGGTCACGTCAGTTGAACAAACAGTACAAGCAAATAAACGTGCAACAGCCAGTTCTGTAAGAACTGACGAACCCGGCATAATCAGATTGTTCTTGCTGTGGAGGCGCGACAAGTAATGAGAACGACTATCAAATGTCTCTGTGGTAAAGTAAGAGGACCGCGGTATAGACTGAAAGATACCAGGAATGTGTGCCCCAGGATGGATCTGAAGATCAGAATCTTAACTGCAACAAGACTACGCCCTGAAAGTTCTAACAACGAAGTATGCTTGCAAAACATGACACTTCCGGTGAAACGAGGTACACGAAACAAGGAGTGGAGTAGTTGATTTATTAACAGTCATTTCAAAGCTTTTAAAACACACCGTACCTAATTACCAGATGCAACAGAATCGTGCTGGCATAAATTACTTGACTGGAAGGATCTACCGCCCTCTCCTCACAGGTACTAAGACCTTGGAAGATAAAATAATGCGGTCGGTATTAAAAGTATCACACAGCAATTCCGGTCAAACACGAATAGCTGGAGATCTCAACTCTAAGTCCCTAGATCTCAGTAAACAGGATGTAGCTCCCACAGGTTGGTTCCAAAGGTGATTTGTCGCAGGCATGAGAAGTTTCGGACGAGGATGACCATGTCCACATACCAGTAGGAAGTAGTGAACATGACACAGTCACATTTAATATGATTAAAGGAAATACCCAAGGGAAACAAACATGCTCTTCGACTATTCTATACTAATGCAAACTAGGCATCCACGAGAGAGCATCCTCTACACACCTCACGTTCACGAAAATGGTGTAGGTCAGCTGCAGTAGCTAACGATGATAGACATCATATAGAATGCTGGCCTAAACAGCTTACCTCAGGTTAATCACAAACTTAGAATGATGAAAGACCATAGGGTAAGCGAAGCTGTGAATGCCTGCTGTAAGTAAAAAACAAAGCCTTGAACAAGAAAATGTTCTTTCTGAAGTATTCCAACTGTAATCTTTGCTTGGCGTTGGGAAAAAATGCAGTGCCAAATTTTTGACGCGATGGGATACACCTGCAGACAAAGCTTGCTGCCAAAATATAGGCAAATCCAATATATTTCTCCATGTTCATGACTAGAAAGAAACCTAAGAACCACTGTGTCTGTGGTCCCAAAGATCCGAATATCGAAGTTCTTATAAAATCTGACACCACTGTGACCCTCATCGCCAACCTCGTAATACATACAAAACGAGAGCTTCAAAGTTCGAGGTCCAATTGGAATCATTAACTTCCACCCCGGTTATAATCTGCGTTCCTACGTCTTTGCTTCTATTCCTGTCCTCTTTCAAATTCTTCATTATCAATTAAATGATTTGTCTTATTATTCGGATAGTTATAAAATCTTCTTCTTCCCATTAACTTTGGAATTTTTTCTCTGTTATTCTCCATTCTGCAACTATGTGATCCTCGGTCTGGTATGTGACAGACTCGACTACCAACCTTTGTTCATCAACAAATACAAGTACACGTACTAAGGCAATAAGAAGCGAGCGAGAAGAAATCAAATAGTGACTTTTTCAGGCATTCACTGGAGTCACACCGATTCCCAGCTGAATGGAAACAAGCTACTCTCTCTCCAGTTTTCAAAGGAGAAGATAGAAAGGACCCAGCCTGTTACAGACCAGTCGCACTACTACCAATACTATCAAAGGTTATGGAAGGGCTAGTGGACGAACAAAGGAGGGAGTAGATGGATAAGAATAAAATACTCCATGAAGCTCAACACGGGTTTCGGAAAGGCAGGTCGTGTGTACCTAATGTTCTCATCGCATGGGACAGCTGGAAATCCTGTTTGGACTGTAGAATACCGGTGCACGTAATATTTCTCGACTTCGCAAAAGCCTTTGACACAGTGCCCTACGCACGCCTAATCGAAAAGGTTGTGGAAATGGGCTTCACTGACCCACTCCTATCTTGGCTCAGAAACTACCTTGAGAATAGAAAGTTTCGCACCACGGTAAACAGAGTCAACGCGACCTGGCGAGTATCCAAATCGGGGGTTTCACAGGGGATCATCCTAGGCCCACTTCTCTTCCTGATATTTATTACCGACATGTTAGGCTTAGTTAGCTCACCGGCATTGATCTACGCAGACGATGCGGAGATCTGGAGGTCCATTAGAAGGGAAGAGGATTCGACTGAGCTTCAAAAGGACCTTATATCTATTGAGGAACGGGCAATCAAAAAACGGTTTAAAACTCAACCAACCGAAGTGCCACGTCATGCATATTCTGCCCCACATGACAAAAACGATCTATACCCTCAATGGAAGTCCGCTTCCAACTTTCTCCTCAGAGCGCGATTTCGGTTTAATAACCACAGAAAGCCTCCACACCATTCCAAACTATGTAGGGGACGCAACAAAGGCAAATGCGACTCTTCACTTTATGCGAAGACAACTTGGTGCTATCACCCCGAAATTATTTTTAACCCTGTTTAAGACGTACGCGGGCCCACACCTGGAGGTTCACAATATCATCGCACCCCCTCTGCTTAAAAGAGACACAAATCTCTTGGACAGAGTGCAGAGACGAGCAACCAAATGGGTGATAGTGTTGAAAAATAAACCCTACGACGATAGACTCCAGCTCTCGGGATTATTTCCACTGAGCTACAGGAGAATCAGAGGTGACCTGATTATGGCGTACACCATATTAAACACGCCAAACCATTCCAATGTGAGCATATTACCAATGCATCACCACCACACCCTTCGAGGCAATCCTCTAGAGATTGCATACCAAAGAGCGAATACTCAGATCCGTACACACTTTTCATTTAAATCCCGAGACATGCTCACTCACAAAAAACTGCCAACTGACTGGAATTATACAGTTGGTCATTACCGAACACCTCGAATAGTAGCAGAAGAACAAGAATTAAGAGCGAAAAGATATTGGATATTGTACTTCAAGCGCTCCGAATTCAGAATGTCCGTAGTTCAAGGTTGTTTGAGAAAATTTCTTTAGGATTGGTATGTGGGTAGCTGTAACTGTTTGAGATCTTCATGCTGTTAGCTCCTGGCTTCGCTTTCCGAACTCTATGAATCTGACGCTTAAATGATTGCTAGTCGTTACTTATTATTATCCTCATCAAAATTAGGTGCATTTCGAACAACTTTTGGATGGTCGGCATTTCTCTTCTTGCTCCTTCTTTTCTAGTTCTCGCCGCTAATAATAATATGCATGCCAAATAAGTACATAAGGTAAATTTTGACAGGCGCGAACTGCTACAATTGCTTATCGCCGTGGTCGTTCGATTTGAGTTGATTAAAGCCGAGATATTGGTCACATATTTATCATGGAGTCGTGGCAAAGACTCACTGATTCCCCTTTTTCACGGGTTAACCACCAAGCAGTTTGCTTAGATGGACGTATATTTGTTTTTGGGGGTTTTAATTCTCAGATGTTTGATGTTGACTACAATGAACGTCAGATAGATACATTTATATGGGATATTCGTGAGTTAACTTTCTTCTTGATCAGATTTTATAGATACAAATAAATGGGAACAGCTCCCTTATCCTCTGTTGCTGAAATCATGGGACTGCACTCTCAAATCTTGGGGACCTGATCCTATTCTAGAGGTAAGTAAAATAGCCTATCTGATCTTTGTCAACACTATATGATATCTGCTTATTTTTGGCGTAGCAGGAATATCAAAAATCGGAAACTACTTGCTCACCTAAACCAAAGGTGTTTGTTTCGGTCTGTTCAATTAGTTTTTTGGGCAGAAATAGTCATATTTTTAAAAAATGTCATGGGTTATCATATTCTATACCGTTTACAGAAAGGAATGTGCGTTTTGGTCTTTCCATATGTTTGGGTCTACAGTTAGTGGATTGTCTGTGGAAGCATACCCACTTGGTTTGTATGTTAAACATCAGTTTTACCCAAGAGATTCAATCAATATCGTTTGTTTAAAACTAATTTTTAGTTTTTACGCATTTGAAATCAACAATCAATCATTGTTAGACCACCATTAGAAACCTGAAAGCACTGGACGGCCGTTTCGTCCTAGTATGGGACTCAGCAGTACGCATCCACGGCCGTCCAGTGCTTCCAGGTTTCTAATGGTGGTCTAACAATGATTGATTGATGATTTCAAATGTGTAAAAACGCAAACCTCCAAAACTGTGCCCCAAAATAATTTTTAGTTGTTTTAAAATGTTTAAACTTGGTATTCACTTTAAGTTTCATGCTGCTTTGATGGAATCTCAGTAACATAAATTTAAAACATTTGGAATATATTGTGTTGTGTACGAATTTGTCACTAAATTTATCACATTCAACTATTTCATTGAGTGTGTGGAGATTGTTAAGTTACTCATTAAAATCATGCGCACTGTTGATGAGTCCCAATCCAGGATGAAACCGCCGTCTATTGCTTCCAGGTTTCTAACGGTAGACTAACATTAGTGGATTCATGATTTCAAATTCAACTTTGACGAAATCTCAGTACGGATACAGAAAGCTCTATTGGCTTTTGCCAACTTGCGTCATTAATGCCGTAGGCGAGATACCCGTTCGCGAACCAAGGGTCGAGTGTACTATATTCATAGGTTACTAGTCTTCGATCATCTATGTCTCCAAGGCATTGCTCGTGTATCCTGGGACAACCGAGTAAGCATGGCACAAATCCATGAAGTCACTGACTAGTGGAGAGAGTCATGTTGACAGATATAGGCTACCTGGTTGGGCTCCGCGAGACGAAAGTCGCTAACGGTTAGAGACCTTAAATGACAAGGCTAAAAACCGTTTCCGATGGGGCCGGTGCATCTACTCTCTGTGCTCTCTCAAATTCTAATCTTCTGAATTCCTCATCATCCCTATCTTTCGCTTTCTAAAGTTATCTCACTGAATTATGCTTCTCGAATCATATCTTCGAATCCTAATATTCTCCATTATTGCTAATACGTTTACTACCTCGACTACCATCAGATTTGAATAGACAATTACGTCTCTGCGCTAATGTGGTATGGCAACTTGAACTAATATACATGCGTACGTAGGACGTTCTACGTTTCTGTTGATTGACTATGGGATTCGTATTGACAGTTTGATCTCTGAGCTAATGAGGTGTGGAAAATGGACTGATATATATATATATATATATATATATATATATATATATATATATATGAGAGTAAAAGATATTCGTAGGTTACTGGTTTTCGATCATAGGTGTCTTCGAAGCATTGCTCGTATATCGTGGGACACCCGAGTGAGCAACGCTGTTATTAGGAAACGGGTACTAGGTAAGAATGGCAGATCAATCGATGAAGTGGTGAAACTTCATCAGTTGAGGTGGTTGGGACATGTGTTGCGTATGCCCAACCACCGACTGCCTCGTCGAGCTTTGTTTTGTAGTGTAGGAATAGGTTGGAAGAAAGTTAGGGGCGGCCGAACCAAAACATGGCAGAAATCCATGAAGTCATTGACGAGTGGACTTAGCCATGTCGGTAATTGTCGACTACCTGGTTGGGGTCCGCGAGATGATAATAATCGATGGTAAGAGACCTTGAATGACATGGCTCAAAATCGTTCGCAATGGCGCCGGTGCATTTATTCTTTGTGTTCTCTCAAATCCTAATCTTCTGGGTTCTTCAACCCCTCTAGTTTTGACTTTCTAAACTTTTCTCATTTAATCATACTTCTTGAATAATATCTTCTCATCCTAACCTCTCCGATTACTTCTAATACCCGTACTAACTCTTCTACTATTGGATTTGAATTGACAATTACATCTCTGTGCTGATGTGGTATGGCGACCTGAACTGATGTACTTATGTACGAAGTTCTACGTTGCAACTGACTGACTGACTGATATATATGTCACCTGTCAGTGACTTCTTGTGGTATGGCAACGTGAACTGATGTACTTACGTACGAAGTTTTGCGTTGCAACTGACTGACTGACTGATATTCTTTACCAGTTGTTCGGTATTTCATTCTGAAGCAGTAGAATATTTAGTGATAGTTCTGGTAAGCACACTTAGATTATTCATTAGTCAACAAGATCATGGTTTAATTGCCAGGTTTAATTATTATTAGCATGAAACTGAACAATGATAGCAGTTTAAGTAAGCACCACCTGTAATACTAGCTCAACGAACAAGCCCTAAGTTTGACTCAATCTCTTTGTACTACGCTTTAAGCGACCGGTTAGTGTCGTTGAACGGTGGCCCGAAACCAAATGCACATACATGTAGTTGGTAAATGATCTACGTTGATCAATTGCTGTTTCGTATAATAATAGCTAAATACCTCAACATTTTCATTAGATTTTTCGAGTCATAATCATAAAGTGACTAAATTTCTGTGATAACCAGAACTTAGGAATACGTAGTCGTGCAAAACTTTTTATCTTACCTACGTGAAGAAAAAGCAAAATGGTAAAAATTTAGTTAAAAATGGTTATTTTTGAGTTAAGTGGTAGTCTCAAATATGCTGATGGGCAGATAAACTGGATATAGAGGTTGACGTATGTCAGAGCTAATATTTGATTAGTTACTAAATTCTTTCAGGACGTATTCCAGTTTTATTAAGGATATAGTCGCCTAGTAGAATAGAATTTTCTGGCTGGTCGCTTCAGCTGTGACTGTATATCTTACTCATTTTGTCTAGGGGCCCTTAAATGCCCTGAAACGATTGAGGGGGGCAAATCCGTTCTCCCTCTCAAAATGCTTTCATATTAGCATGGGTATACAGCAACTGCCACCACTGTCTGTCATGGCAGTGTTTACGAAATTGAGAGTACGCAAAGCAAATGTCCAGAGTTTTAACCCAATCGTTGAGTATGGAGGACCGACAGAGGAGTTAGAAAACGCTATTTCAAAACCACTGGTGCACATGGGCTTCAGGATTTCAACGGAACAAATGGCATACGAACCTATTGTTGGTAACCGACGACTATGGGACCACATCCCTTGATGTCGCTCCATTGCCTTGTGGGTTAGATTTTTGAGTTAAAGGCCCCTCGGATTGGCCTCCTACGAAAATCACCTGATTCACTTTGGGCATCCGGGCAGCATCTCATCCCAATCACAAATCCAGTAATTTGTGTGACGCCTAAAAGTTTGGGTACCCCTTTGTACTAATGCTTTTGTACTTAAGTAAGATTGAACTGGTGATAAAACGAACTTTAATATCATAAAGACAAATTTTGTTTCAGATCTCTCAGCATGCTTCATAGCTCTACTGCTCAACAATGTTCAGAGAAATTAGTCCCTTGAAGTCTACCTATGTTACTATTTATCACACTGATTCCTCTTTTTTGTATTGTAGAGTAGCGGTTCTATTCAACCCAGTCTTAGATTCGGTCATACTGTTGTTGCTTGGCGAGGTCGAGGATGGCTTTTTGGTGGAAGGATGCAACAGCGAGTATGCTCCAATCAGTTATATATGTTCGATCCTGGTTCAAAGTCTCCCTGTCAACCGTTTAATCGGTCTACAGTATCCGGTAGCCTGAAATTGAATCACTTTTTTAATACTAAAAAGTTTCATCCTCCCTGTTGGGCTGAAGTAAGAGGTACAGTTGGTAGTGTACCGAGTGCTCGGGACGGTCATTCAGCTACTGTTTTAGAAAATGCAATGTTTGTATTTGGTGGTTTCGAGGATGTCGTAAGTTTCTTCACATTAATAGTAACGTAGATCATTCAGACTAGTTTGTCAATAAATATTGAGGTTTATAGGGTACTAGTTTTAATGTTTTTTTATTTCTATTACAGTTATATATACTTTTCTTATTATCTTTAAACTCATGTATCACTATTAATCACGATACTCCTTATTCTAAACGATGTCAGTGATAATGTTTGATTCAGATTACGAATTAGGAAATTTTAGACCTAATTTCTTTGTGTGGTCCATACTGATCATACGCTTACCCTATAAACTGAACATCTTTTATGATCTAGTGCCAGTGTTTCGTCTGATGTAAAAATTGATGAACTGCTGATAACTAACTACTTGCAACATTTTCCCACATGTCTTACTGTTCATCTTTAGTAACATCTAAAACCTTTATTTCAGTGATAGTATGGATGAAACCTAATATGTAAATAGATGTTCAATGTTTAATGTATTTTTCTCCAGTTTACTGCATGTTTGTTGGACCTTCATCCTAATTTTTTAAATAGTTAAGTACCAAACCCATTTGATTCGTTTAGCTATAGGTAAACTGGATGTTCATGTAGGCGGCCATTCTTGTGTGATTTAATTCAACTCATTTTAGGATGATACGGGTATCAGTAATGACATTGCATGATCGTCAACTTGTATTACGAATTGTTCAAAGTTGGAAATGGTAACCACTAGGTTTTAGCTCAGTAACACCTCATTCATTGTAGGATCTAAAGATGTTGGATTCGATTTCTAGCTGAGTTATAGGTGTGCATTACGAACAATAAAAAACAGATGCTCAATGCACTATGGTTCTTAGTAGTTTTTCGGTGTTAATCAATATTTTGAAATCAAGCCAATTCCTACAATTTAAAAACTAATTAAACTGACTACATTATAAATGATGAGCCTTCAAAAAAGTAAGGTTCTATTTTTCCTCAGTAAAGTTTCTCATTTCTTTATCGAATCCTCGTCAACATTTTTCTTTCCAGTTTGATAATTATGACAATTCAGTTTATCGACTGGATTTCATTACTTGGAATTGGACGCGTATAGAAATTCGTGATGATTTACTACCGTTTTCAGATCTTTCCCTTAATGTCCCAATGGATACAAATAGAAGCGGACATGATCAGACATCGCATCCAAGGACTCCTTTACCTCGTGATTTCGCTTGTCTTATTAGTCACCATGGTCGTATATTTCTGTTTGGTGGACGAAGTAAGTCCCCTAATCATCCATCGTGTGATGTCTATGATTCTATTCTATGGGAGCTCATTCCTCTTGTTAATGTATCAGATTACTCTTCCTCTGATACGGCGAATATCCCTAAAGAACAGAAGCTAATTCCGGCTAAATGTGATGTTTGTGATGCAGAAATGATCGATTATTTAGGTACTACTTCTGGTGGCTTATTACACATCCTCTGGGAAGAAGAAACAGGGAACTGGTCCGGGTATGTATAAATCAATTTAATCTTTCAATAAGTTATTAAAATGTTTTCCACAAGAGGTTTTATAGCATTAAGTTTCCGCCATTTAATATTGTGCAAAAAGGAGAATTGTATGATTTTGTCGGAGCCCAAACAGAATGTATATTTTAACTATTTCGAAATCCCGACCGTAGCTGCTACCTTGACGTGGTGGTCTGACTCACCTATCGTGATGACCCAACAGAGCTATATCGGCTGGAACATATGTTCCTTTAGGTTCTACCATGGCAGGCTGGTTGATTGGAGAACGATGAGACTAACAGCATCAACTGAAGGTCTGGGGGCGAAGTCGTACTGCTGACTGTAGAGAAGTGTGACAGCAGTAAAGTGTTTTCTTCGGACAACTAGCATCTGCAGTGATGCTGACTTCTCACAAGGAAATAAAGGGTTAATAAAAGGTCGAATCTTATAATTTCACATCTCACCTCACCTCGTGGATTACCATCTCTGGCGGTAAGGCCACTTGAAGAGCTGAGCTAACACTAAAAACCTCCCATAAAAAACTCGTGCGTGACCAACCACAAACAGTTGTCCCTTGGACTCTGCAGTCACGCTCTCAGTTCTCTAGGACCAAAGCTAACCTACCTTCGCTCAAGAAGCACCCTTCCACGGTGTTGACAGCCGGGAAGTGACATCCCCACTCATACTCGTACACGAGACCAGATCGGTGACAATCAAATGCTTCCTACAACCCATAACATCTACCTTATCTCCACAATGAACTCTTCTCACATTCCTCTGATATAGAAGTATTAGCTAGTGACTTTACTGCTCAAGTAGGTAAACTAAATGTAACTGAGAGACACCTGGGTCGATCCTATGGTGTTGTCGCTGAAAGACTAGATAATGGCGACCATCTGCTACAGCTTTGATTAGATAATCACCTATTTCTAGCAAACACTGACTTTAATCATAAGGGAAAATATCTTTTAGACATGGTGACCCTCAAAGTCGACAAAATATGGACCCGAATTGACCACACTGCTATCGGCCATCGGTGGGGAGACTCTGTTGAAGGCTGTTGCTCGTTCTGTTTAGATCTAGATCATGCTCTAGTACTTTACGTCAGGTCCTAGAACAAAGACACATTCAGACGTCCCACAACAGTAGTATTTCTCGAACTTAAGGCAGCATTTGACTCTATCAATTGCCAGGGTCTGTTATTATTGAAAGGCGTACCAAAGAAGTATATTAACATCATACAAGTTCTCTACTCGAACACTACTGCTCTAGTTACAGCTTATGGCAACTGTCATTGGAATTGATTACTTCGAGTGGTGTTCGTCAACGTTGTCAACTTTGTCCATTCCGATTCAACTTTGTCATTGTTTTCTCGTCTGAATTTTCAGGAATTGAACTTCAACCAAGGAACTCGCTTGTTCACTTAGAATAGGCAGATCAATCAATCAATAGCAACGTAGAACTTCGTATGTACCTACATCAGTTATTGTTGCCATACCACGTTAGCACAGAGATGTAATTGTCAATTCAAATCCAATAGTAGCAGACGTAGTAAAGGTATTAGCAGTAGTCGATTAGAAATTAGTCAAAAAGTAGAATCTAGTGAAATAGACTTAAAAAGATAAAGATAAGGTGATGAGGAATTCAGAAGATTAGAATTTGAGAGAGCACAGAGAGTAGATGCACCGGCCCCATCGGAAACGGTTTTTAGCCTTGTCATTTAAGGTCTCTAACCGTTAGCGACTTTCGTCTCGCGGAGCCCAACCAGGTAGCCTATATCTGTCAACATGACTCTCTCCAGTTGTCAGTGATTTCATGCATTTCTGCCATGTTTTGGTTCGGCAGCCCTTAGCTTTCTTCCAATTTACTCCCTGTTAGGGGGACATAGCTCCACAAAACATAGCTCATAGAGGCAGTCATTCCCAATCACCCCAACTGATGGAGTCTCACCACTTCATCTATTGATCTGCCATCCGTACCTAGCACCCGTCTCCTAACGACAGCATTGCTTATACGGTTGTCCCATGATACACGAGCAATGCCTTGGAGACATAGATGATCGAAGACTAGTAACCTACGAATGTCCTCTACTCTTAACGGCAATGTTTCGCATCCGTACAGTAGGACAGAGTGAACTGCTGCACAGTAAACTCGTCCTTTGGTTAGCAAGCGGATATCTCGCCTGCGCCATAGGTGACGCAGGTTGGTAAAAGCCAATCGAGCCTTCTGTATCCGTGCCGATATTTCGTCAGTTACCAGGCAATCAGCACTGATGAGACTCTAGAGATAAGTGAAGCGGTCTACACGCTCGACTGTTTCACTCCCTATCACTAGTTCCGGTGTAATGCAACCCGGTTGTGAAGCAACATTTTGCATTTGGACGGGGAGAACCGCATCTCGAACATGCTTGCATTGTTTTTTAGGGTAGTCAGAAGATTCTGCATTTTGTCAGCGTCTTCACGAAGTAGAACTATGTCATCGGCATATTCTAAGTCAATAAGCGAGCCTCCTGGTAGAAGGTCTAATCCTGAAAATTCAGACAAGGATAATGTTATATCTAGGAGCATGTCCAAGGCAAAAGTGAACAAGAATGGAGAGAGTGGACATCTCTGACGGACACCACTTGAAGTAACCCATTCCGATGACACTTTGCCATAAGCTCTAACTCGACCAGTGGTGTTCGAGTAGAGAGCTTGTATAAGGGTAATGTGCTTCGTTGGTACACCTTTCAATGACAGACACTGCCACAGAACCTCACGGTACGCAGAGTCGAATGCCGCCCTAAGGTCCACGACGATGATTATTGTAGGACGCCTAAAAGTGTGTATTTTTACAGGACCTGTCGTAAAACGAAGATGTGGTCTATTTGGTGAAGACGCTGACAAAATACACAGTCTTCTGACCACCCTAAGCAACAATGCAAGCATGTTCGGGATGCGGTTATTCCCCTCGAAATGCAAAATGTTGCTTCAAGAATGGGTTTCATCGACACCTGAACTAGTGATAGGGAGTGAAACAGTCGAGCGTGTAGACCGCTTTACTTATCTGGGGAGTCTCATCAGTGCTGATGGCCTGGTGACTGACAAAATATCGGCACGGATACAGAAGGCTCGATTGGCTTTTGTCAACCTGCGTCACTCATGGCGCAGGCGAGATATCCGTTTGCTGACTGAAGGACGAGTGTACTGCGCAGCCGTTCGCTCCGTTCTCATATATGGCTGTGAAACATGGCCAGTCAGAGTAGAAGGTATTCGTAGGTTACTGGTTTTCGATCATAGGTGTCTTCGAAGCATTGCTCGTATATCGTGGGACACCCGAGTGAGCAACGCTGTTATTAGGAAACGGGTACTAGGTAAGAATGGCAGATCAATCGATGAAGTGGTGAAACTTCATCAGTTGAGGTGGTTGGGACATGTGTTGCGTATGCCCAACCACCGACTGCCTCGTCGAGCTTTGTTTTGTAGTGTAGGAATAGGTTGGAAGAAAGTTAGGGGCGGCCGAACCAAAACATGGCAGAAATCCATGAAGTCATTGACGAGTGGACTTAGCCATGTCGGTAATTGTCGACTACCTGGTTGGGGTCCGCGAGATGATAATAATCGATGGTAAGAGACCTTGAATGACATGGCTCAAAATCGTTCGCAATGGCGCCGGTGCATTTATTCTTTGTGTTCTCTCAAATCCTAATCTTCTGGGTTCTTCAACCCCTCTAGTTTTGACTTTCTAAACTTTTCTCATTTAATCATACTTCTTGAATAATATCTTCTCATCCTAACCTCTCCGATTACTTCTAATACCCGTACTAACTCTTCTACTATTGGATTTGAATTGACAATTACATCTCTGTGCTGATGTGGTATGGCGACCTGAACTGATGTACTTATGTACGAAGTTTTGCGTTGCAACTGACTGACTGACTGACCACTTCCAGTTCGAGAACCAGTCTTAGCACATCAGGACCTGCTGCCTTACCGCGCTACAGATTTCCTATCTCTTTGTCAACTTCATAAAAAGTCGGAGAAATGACGTCGGTTTCCAATTCAGGATGACAGTGGATCGTGGGTAACCAAAGTGTGGCTGAAGGCCAGTTGAACTGATCTCTAAACTATTCTGCCTATCGATCCACTCTCCTGGATTGAGAATGGATAATAAGACCATGCTTTTTTGAAATTGTCTCACTCACTTTTGGGTTCCTGACACTGGTTTCGTTGATGAGTCCAAATAGTTGCCTGCTGTTGCCTATCGCCGCGACCTTTTCCATCTCTCGCTTTCGCTACCCACATTTGTTCGCGGTCGTTGCGTAGAATTTTTATCAGCCTGCGCCTGAAATGACTCCGCTCCTCATCGTATTCAGAGCCAGGCGGGATGAGTTCTCGAGTTCGGTAGATACTGTTGAGATCCACGGCTTCTTCCTAGACTTATGGTTTACCTTACTAGCAGATATCACTGCTGTTTCAACAGCCTTTTTGATATCGTTCCAACCTGCCTCCGGTTGGGAATCGCTTACATGGTCGTCTAACTGTTTTTCTAGTTTTTCCGGAAATATATTCTTACCTTTATTATCATTAAGTGAAACCATAATAGGCTTTCTGGCGGTGTCTTTTCTACGTTCAGGTAACTGCGAGTGTTCCCATCCTTCCAAGTCCTTATTGTCCCTTTAAGTCGGACAGCACAAGCGACTGTCTACTGGGATCCATTCTAGGAGAGCTAGTTCTACCTTACGATGTAATGCTACACCTACACCAGCGAGACCCCGGGAAGCAGCATCATGGCTACCGGATACACGAAGAGTAAATCGGGCTGCTTCTTTGTTTCGACAAGGCGAAATCAGAATAATGACTGTACTAGGATACTGTATGCGCATTTCCGAGACGCAGCATACATCGATTGAGCGAGATTCTAGAGTCCTAGCTACTGATGCCTGTTGCCCTATTTGACATAATGTCCGTACATGAGAAGCTCCAACATGTAGTTTAGAACGGGGTTTAAGGAGACCAGGAATG